GGGGTGTCTTCCTGTCAGGCGACTGAAACTGAAAAATTCGAAATTTTCAAAAAAGTATCAGGGGAGCATGAAAATCGAGGAGGTATTCACTGAAATTAAAAAATTCGAAATTTTCGAAAAAGTATCAGGGGAGCATAAAAATCGAGGAGGTATTCACTGAAATTGAAAAATTCGAAATTTTCAAAAAATTATCAGGGGAGCATGAAAAACGAGGATGTATTCACTGCAATCTGAAAATTCGAAATTTTCGCAAAAATACCAAGAGAGCATGACAATTGAGGAGGTATTCACTGAAATCGAAAAATTCGAAATTTTCAAAAAAGTATCAGGAGAGCATGAAAATCGAGGACGTATTCACGGGAATTTGAAATTTCAAAATTTTTTAAAAAGTACCAGGGGAGTATGAAATTTGAGGAGGTATTCACTGAAATTGAAAATTTCGAAACTGTCAAAAAAGTATCAGAGGAGCATGAATATCGAGGAGCTAAATACCTGCTCGATTTTCATGCTCCCCTGTTACGTTTTTGGAAATTTCGAATTTTTAAATTTCAGTGAATACCAATTGCGTAAAGCAGAAAATAACATTCTCCCCCGTGACCGGTCCGTCTGCCAGCCGGACTGCTACTGACTACTGAGGCAGTTACCGAGTCGGCCGACGGGCACCCCCCTCCATTTTGTGTGTCGCCCTCCCACTCCTGGGGTGTAGTACTACAATGCTGGTGGGGGCACTCAAACCCCCACAACTGAGCCTCTACTTCGGCCAATCCTCTTTGGGCTCAGTAGTAGTACTGCACCCCAGGAGAGGGAGGGCGACACACGTAATGGAGGGGGGGCCCGTCGGCCGACTCGGTAACTGCCTCAGTAGTAGTCCCGCTGTCCCGCTGGCAGGCGGACCAGTCCCCGGGGGTGAACCTAATTTTCTGCTTTACGAAATTGGTATTCACTGAAATTTAAAAATTCGAAATTTCCAAAAAAGTAACAGGGAAGCATGAAAATCGAGCAGGTATTTAGCTCCTCGATTTTCATGCTCCTCTGATACTTTTTTGACAGTTTCGAATTTTTCAAGGTGCAATACTACGATACCACTGGGGTCACTCAAACCCTCAGAACGGAGTCTCTACTTTAGTCAATCCTCTTTGACTGAGCCTTTTTTCACTTTAATTTTTCACTTTAGTCAATCCTCTTTGGAGTCACTAGTAATTGACCCCCTCGATATCATCGAGCCCATCCTCACCAACATGTTTGGATAACCAGTCATGTGGCTCCCCAAGTGTCAATTTTTCTAACTAGATCCCCTCCTTCCAACGGACTAAGGACTTTAATAAAGCGAGAGAACTCGCAAGCTCTCCAGTCTCTCCCTGGGACGCGATCGCGCGAGTATGACGTCCAAGAAAAATTCTCCAACCACATGACTCAATCTCCGAGCCAAAATCCCCCGAAAAATAAAAATATCCCGACACTCTTTGACCACTAAAAACTAAAAAAAAAATTCAATTCCACGCAATCACCACTTGGCACTGACATTTCACCGATGGATCTGTGAATTCTTCGGGACCAGAACGATGAAGTGCTAACCGATAATGACAATTTTTCCATTTCGGTGTTGAATAAAATTTGAATTAAAAAAAAAATAATCCCGAGTCTTATGATTTTGGAGTGTCCAGCGCGATTGTTTGTCGCGCAAAAAGTGTGACAGCTCGTCTGGTGACTGAAAAAATTCATCCTGGATAACAACGATTAGGTGAGTGTTTGGTGTTTATCATTGGCGATTTATCGCACGTACATATCCGCGTATTTATTATTCAAATGTGCGCGTGCTTCCCGGGGCAATGTTGCATTATCCCTCCCCCTTTCGGAGGCGGAGTACTGAAGTCAAAGTATTAGCAGTTAGCAATTATCCGGGGCTTTTTATTGATACCAGATTGAAAAAATAACCAACGAACCCCCGGGCAATTTCACTATTTCCATTTCCATTTCTCCTCCTGAATATTTCCGTACGAATTCCCCAAAATAATTAAAATAAGGCAATCCACCTAAATCGAATTGTTCATCTTCCTTCATCTAACTATCGATTTCCCCCGAAAGTATTTATCTTAGGAAAAAATATCATCAGACCTTTTTTATCGGGGATTTATTGAGCTGCAAAAAAGTTTCTTGGAGTTTTTCCCGTAAATCGATAGATCTCCGGGTTTTTATTGAGATTAATGAAAGAGTTCCATGCCTCGGTCAAAAAATAATTTTTTGCGCTACTGAATTGTTACAAATAAAAAATAATAGAAAGGCGTGATATGGGTATAGAATGCGTCAGCTGGACTTCAGACTGATCCGAGATTATTGTGATATAAATCTCATCGAAACAAACAAAAGACAAAATAAATGAAGACGTGGATAGAGAGGAGAAATTATAGGCTGTCCGGATGCGCCCTGGAGATTACATGTCGGCGATAGATTGTAGTTATCATTATTATCATTGAAAACAAAATACTAAAAAGGCGATATACCCGGGGTCGAAAACTGCCCTCCACAAAAACAAAATGAATTATCGATGATTATAACGTAGATGAATTTGAAAATCTCACGGACATTAGATGACACGATTATTAATAAAACAAATATTTTAATTACAACGGAGATTAACCCGCAATCAGTTGAGCGATTGACTATAAAATTTCTCATGATTCATTCTAAACGAGATAATCGAGTTGCATGCTGTTGGCCTAGATTGTCATGATCATCTAGGCATCCTCAAGCGAATAGTAAATAATTGCCATTCACTGACAAATTGCACTGACTTTTCAGGAGAATATCAAATTTCAATCATTTTTTTCTGTTGAATCGCAATGCCCTGGACATTCAAAAATATATTGTTGTTTTTTTTTATGATCTTCAGAGATGAATAGAACCGAAATCGACAGTTAGTTCAATTTTTCAAAGTTTGGATTTTCAGTGGTGAGATTTTAGAAGGAAAAATCATTTTAACAGCGAATTTTCGAATAATGACACTTGGAACATTAAACTTGAAATGTTTAACAATGACAAACTACTGAAAAAATTTCGGGAGAATTTGTAATTAATGAATCAGTTAATTTATTTAATATTCTCGTAAATCTCAATTTTCAGGTCCATATGGCACTAACTTTTTCAAATTGGGAGCCAATCGGAAATTCAAGCTTTCGAAAAACTTTTAATGACGAATTAGAAATTTTCACTGAGAAAAAACGGTATTTTTACCAATATCACTCCCCACCCGTAAATATACATAAATACTTCCGAAATACATGTTAATGCCACATATATTGTCCTGTAGTTGAAATACTTGAAAATATAAATTTTCCAGTGTATTGGGTGTTTTTAATTGAAATTGAATTCAAACTCGTAAAATTGAAAATTCATATAACTTTCGGGAAAACGAAAAAAATATATATGCTAACAATGATATGTGATATATCGCATTTTTTGCATCAAATGTATCTCACGTATAACTCAGATATATACCGAATATACATAGCGTATGTGTTCACATATTTAGCGTATATCTGATATATTTTATCCGGAATAAACGTATAATAAATACACCGAGAAAAAAATTATTTTACCCAAGAATATTTACTAACCACAAGAAAATATTTTAACATTAGTAAGTCTTATGGGAGTATTTACACAGTGATCGGCAGATTTACTTGTGGGAAGAAAATATTCTTGGCAAAAATAATTTTTTTTCTCAGTCTACTTATTTCGAATATCCATACATATACGGGTTTATAACCAAAATTTCAAGAAATTTTCGACAGTGTAGGATTAATAAAAGGCGGAGAGATAAAATCAAAGGTTGAAGTTTTCATGCGGTAGAACGCCAGATTAAAAGTGAATGGGGGAGCGTTCATTCACAAGATTTTCTGGTTGTAGGGTTGAGGGAAGGGGATCCGTACTGCCCCATTGGATGTTTTATATGTGTAAATACATACACGCACAAATATCCCCCGATGTATCGCATTGCTGCCTTGAAAAAGGCGTTTAATATCCCGCGTTATTCCATTCACGGGGTATTAAACTCTAATACCCAGATCGATCCTGATTGCAATGAATATAAAAAATCTCCCGAGGATGTGTGACTTCTAACTCCCGCCGGGGAAATTCATTTATTTATTATTTTTCATATCTGCCCCCTGAAATGCATTATTTATACTCGCGTTATCGGGTTTGAGATCAATTCAGGCGTAATCTAATCACAAGAGTACACACCTCTCGGCCAAGGGCCTCGAGTCGAGGCACTTCTCGTTTTATTCGTCTCCAGGGACTTTTTTTTTTCAATTTGTCTCAAGAACGAGCTAATAGTCAATAGTAAAACAGTTGGAAGACTGCATCAGCCATTTTCCTTCATAGAATCTCCAAAGATCACGCGAAAATAAAAATCCAAATTTTGATATCCCAATTTTATGATTCAACATTTGATAAAACGGCACTCAGTAATTCCAAAATTAATTACTATTAACGATTTATTATCTCGAAATAATGCCTCTTCGTTTATTATTGCATGATAAAAATATGTATTGGCCGAAAATATTTTTACTCTTGGCAACTGCATTCCAAAATTGAAAATCATTGTACCGAATTTTCGGGTTGTTATCGATGACTGGGCTGCATCGACTCATCCGTCCGATAAGATTAAAAAAATCTATGCAAATGTGGGTGAAAATATGGAGGAAATATGTAGAAAATGTGTAGGAATAATAGCAGTAGTCGATTGACTTTTGAACATTTAAAATCGGATGGTAAAATAATCTTATCTACCCCTTTGACCGGCCTACATGCTATCTGACGTACTCAACTGGCCACGAGTAACGACAATGCGACAGTAATTAGATTAACCAAGTAACATGCCCCCGTATCTAGGGTTTTAGATCTACTGGGGACAGTTTAAGCTCGTTACGTTATGGAAAGAGTCGAAGACCCTGCCTTTCATACAGGTTTTATCTAATTTCATCAAATTATATGAGTCGGTTATTAGATTACACTGTGATATTTTACTCGTGTTGTTCACTCCCTTTATCGATGGTACAACTTCGTGAAAGTTCCGGGTATGCAAACGTTTGTCACTAATATATATCCGTAATTTTATCATTTCAATATGAAATTGTAATATAAGCAAGTGCGGGGTAATAACGACTTGTTGAAAATTATTCAATTATTATCAGATTCAAAGTTTAATTGATACCTTAAAAAAAAATGTTTTCATTTTCAATTTCCATGGTTTAACGACGTTATAATTTTAATATAAAACAAATCGTTGAAGCACAGCTAATTAAAACTATTATTTTGTTTTATTCTATTCATTATTGTAAGCCATTATTATTGAATAATGATATTTCAATATTATTCTCGTTCGTTGATTTTTCCATTTCTAATGCAATTCTGAAAATATCCAGATGATTAATTCCCGATGTAATTAAAGGCTAATGATTAATTTCCTTTTTTTCTATTGCCCCTTGAAACTTAAACTTTGAATTTTTCTCACATGTCTAATTAATTAATATCAATTATATCTTGTGGAATGAATAATGAAAAATGCGGGGTAACAATGTGTTAAATCATAAAGACCAGTAATTTTTTTCTTCTCGCAATTATTCAATTTCGAATGGAATTACCTTGGGAATGCCGGGATGAATTCCTGGAATGACTAACTACCAACGCTATAAAACGCGTGAATATGTGTATCAATTCCGGAATTCTCTCGAGGAAACATTGCAAGGTATCTCACGTATCATCAGATAAATTAATTGATGCCGTAATTAGGCATTCGCGTACACGTCCAGCCTCCTCATGAATATCTTCGTTCCGCCATTTTTCATACGAAATATTATCGACTGTTAATTGATTAATGGATTTTCTGAAATTCTGATTTTTAATATGGCGGAAAATTTCCATTCCTTGATGACAGTTCAATATAAATTAATTTATCAGAGAATAATTTCAGCAGGAATTAACAATTTTTCAAGAGTTGATGGGGAAGTGGAACTGCCAATTAGATCGATTCATTTTTTAATAATAAGTATGAGTTTAAGATTTTTATTTTTTATGGAGATGGAGGCAATATTTTTATGGTTTTATGTCCCTGTTCAGATGAATCAATGGTTTTTTAATATTTTGAATTATAAATTTTCATTCGATGCGACCGAAAAGAAATGAGACGCGTGCGAAAGTGAAATACCCACCGAGTTATTCGATATCGATATTATATCGCGAGTCTTGGATAATATCGATAACGCAACTGCGTAATTGATAATGTACCAAGGGAAATTATTTCGTTGTGACTCCACAATTTCCCGAATTTCCAATAAAAAAAATCAGTCATGAATACAAATGGAAGCCGAATGATAATTTTCAATAAATTCGAATATCTAGGGAGACTTTCCCAATTTTTATGAATTTTCGAATAATAAAATCGTTAAAATTCCATTGAACCACAAAAATTTGAATTTCTTTCGTCACCGTAAAAAATAATTCACCGAATTCCTCATTACCATAGAATATGGAATAATAAAACAACCGTTACCTCGTCATCGTGCCTCCATAGTTGGCCATCGTCGACAGCTAGATCCCCTGAAACAATTCAAAATGACTCACCTGAGTCCCAGTTATGTTAAACAATTAGACGTTATTGTCGTAACAAAAATACCACCGAAAAAAAATCGAGAATACCAACTGTAGTCTACACCGCGCAATAAATACCAGATGGGCCATTCGTTTGTCGCATCGTTTATTATCATGACAACACATGAAAATAATTTATTAGACTCAAGTGTCCGCACTCACCGACCAATTGAATTAACCGCAAAATCACCCCCTCAAGTCCCACGTAATAAATAATAAAATCCATCCACAAAGAAAAAAAAATTATGCGAATCAAATATAAATCGTCATTCGATTTATTTAATCTCAACCATTCCCACATAAATCATTCAATTCACATAATTAATCATCAAATAATATTTAATGATTTTCTAATAATAACAACAACATTTTATTTTCTCAATACACAACCCAGGATGTTTTCAGAATTATTTTATAATTATTTAAATAATCTACAGATTTAATTGGCACAAATAATTTTCCCAGTAAACAATAAATAATTTAATTATTTTTATTGTTATGATTATTTGATGATGTGGATATGGAATGAGTGAAGTAAATGGGAGAAATTGATAAATCAGATTTCGTGATGGAGTCGGTTGATATTTATTTATTGTTAATATTAATGTTGCAGAGTGCCTGAGGAAATATGTCAGTCCTATTGGAAGCCAGGCCATACAGGCCATTCAAATCCTCGGAGGAGTACCTGATTGCAATGAAGGAGGATCTAGCTGAGTGGTTAAATGCCCTCTATCCCGAGCTGAGGATAAGCCTCGACAATTTTATGGACAGACTTGACACTGGCGTCGCCCTTTGCAAAGTAAGTACTCTATCAATAATCCTTTTACGGCTTCAATCCAACCCACCCAATTACGCAATCATTTCACCCCTTTCTCGATTTATTCGTATTCTCCCGGATTTCAAGATCATTTCCCCTTTATTTATATTTTTTTTTCAATGGATTTTACGGAAATTTTTCGCACAATTCTGGACCCGTAATCCTTCGCCTTTTCAATTATTTATTATTCAATAATCATTGATTTATAATACCAGAGTATTATTTATTTAATTTATTGTTCATTTATTGGATTCGACAAATAGTTTGACCAGAGAAAACTATTATTTTCCCGAAATTGAAGGCTTGATCTTCAAATTGTTAAATAATTATAACAAATTTTCGACTGAAAAGTTCATCGCGAAATCATTTTTAAAGTACAAATTCCAAATATAGAAATAATAAGAAATAATAAATAATTCCAAGTGAACACGAAGAAAATTAAACCAAAACAATAATTCGAGCAAAAAAAAGGAAGGGTGGAGGGAGGGA